AGTTTCTACTGTATATTTAAATAAATATGATAAATTTTAATTATTCAAGGTACTTACAATTCTTAATTATATAACTAAAAGTAAGAATCTCTGCATATTTTGTTAAACGTAATTCAGATCTTAAAAAAATAAATATTAAATATGTTGTTTGTACCAGTATCAAAAAGTACGGGTTCTAGGAAAATGGAAATGAGTAATAAATAAAATAAAAAACTTCATATAAACGAAATTGCTAAAGTAATAAAAATAAATCAGAATATAACTGTTTTCGTAAGGAAAGTGAACCAAATTATTCATATAAAAATTTCCCATAGTATTTATTACAATTCGCAAGCAATAAAAGTTTCGGGCAGAGACGTAGCAAAAAAAAATAAACTATCTCCCGATTAGGTTTCTCGTTTCATCCTCTGTCGTTATTATAGTGAAGCATTCGTGGATTGGATGGAATGTATTCGAAAGATGGCTTATTTCCTACTACAATTAAGTTCGGAACTTTCGTAATAAAGTTATATACAATCGTTAAGAATATCCGGTTGCAAGTTGGGAAAAAGTTTTTATTGTGATTCTATTGAAGCACACGCAATTGATGTAAGTACCCGGCTCTCTAAGAAATGGGAATACATACAAAAAAAAATACATATATACTTGTGTAAAGTTATCCGACATCTTCTGTTCAAAGTCAGAAATGAAAGCAGACGCTCATTAAATTATGAGACGAAACAAATAGATTTAATAAAAAAAAAAAACAGTTGACTTTAAGTCAATCAATCACGCAGTACTTTCGTAAACATCTTTGCGTGGCGAACTTAATTAGATTAGATTTCCATGCTTCCTTAGAGTGGAAAAGAAAGACGCTGTGTTAATTATGTGCTGTCCCTTTTCCCTTTCAATCAAGTTTTATATTTATCCCAATTTAAATGCATCAACTCTGGCAGCGAGGGAAAAGAAGAAAATAAAAAACAGAGAGAAGAAAAAAGAATGCCGGACGGAATTAAGTGAGGGAAAAATGTTAATCAATTTCTTTTCACGTCGTCAGGATTGTGTTTTATTTCGCAACGCGTCCCTTTTAATTGGACGAAATATTTAATTTGTTTAGAGACGGAGCCGATATAGGGTGAGAGAGAGAGTAGATCCTTGTCGTGTAACGGTGAGAGCCCGGGAATTTAATTTGCGCTCAGTCCTAATAACTTTTAATCGCATAAAGGATTATTTATGGCTTCCAATCTGTGTCTCATTGTTCTCAGAGAATGACGACTCTGATCCAAGTTTCCAATTAAAATATACACTGCGCTTCGCACTATTCCGTGCACGACCCTATTGATAAGAACTATACTATTTTTACACTATTGGCGTATATGATAATACAAAAAATTTAATATTAATTTATAATTTTATATAAAAATAGTGAAAATCAACTTATCCTGAACATAGTTAAAATAAAAAATAATAAAAATTGTCTTTGGATTTCTTTAAAACCAATTAAAATTAAGTTGACTATAAATTTTTATTAAATTTCAGCAATGTTTTCAATGAAAAAAAAAATCGTACTTTTTGGTAACGTTAGGTAATTTTAAACTTACATCGTATTGATTTAGATTACAAAAGCGGATTAATTTTCATATATAATTGGTTCTCTTTTTATGCGGTAGATTTCCACAGAAAAACGCATAAAACTAAATCGCACAAAAAAGGACGTATAAAAATAAAGGATACGTTCCATAATTTTTTAAAACCGCATAAAACTAAATCAATGAGTTATAATATACCGAAAATCGCATAAAAAAGGGTTTATTAAATTTCAGAAAAATAATTAGTCTTACTATATTCTTTCTGAAATGTTTATTCATAATTTTATAAAAACGTTAACGTTAATCATAGACAAGTTTATTAAATTTCAGAAAAATATAATCTTAACATATACTTCTAAATTTATACGGAAAAATTTTACAAAAAAAAATACAGAAAATTTTTATGAAAGTTAAACTTTCTTCACATTTTTTTCTTTAGAATTATCGTCGCTATATGAGAGTGTTCGGCATAATTTGCGAACTGGTTCGAAATTACTTTCATTACTTGAAGAGATAGTCAACATATCAGATCTATGTCCGGAAGATAATGATTCTTCACAAGTAAAATTAGTCTCAACTTCGCATGTTCATTTTTTCCCTTTGACAATATAATAACTTTGCGATGGATTTGCTATTTTTTTTGTACAATTCCTGATATCCAGAAATGCAATTCTGAAGCTCGCGTTGAAACTTGAATGCTAGTTCAGAATTATCATTTTTTTCGATGAAATGGTTTGCTAATTTCTGTCAAAATGCCCTAAAATAGTTATTTAAAAAAAAAATGCATAAAAATAGGACCGAGTGTATATATTTAGTAACAATGTTATAAACTAATTTCATTTTTCTTTCTGTTTCAACATAAAAAAAACCTATACAGTAGTGACAAGTATTACTTGAATGTAGTTTTATACTCACTCGGTGTTTCCCATTGTATATTAGCTGAAAGTACCAACAAGTATTTAGGTTTGATTCACGTGTCCTTATAATACTTATACGTACCATCAGACAATAAAGGGTTTAGATACATTTTTATTGTTGTTATTAATAAGTTTTCAATGTAGCTGTCATATAAATCTATTCACCATAACACATGTCAATCACAATGAAAACGAGAAGATAATCTGGTCAAAACAAAAATGTCTTTAACATCATGAGCAATATATTGTATAGTCGACGAAGCTAACATTATCTGCATTGAAAACGACATTATCAAAATGCGAAGCACCTTTCAACATTTGACGGAGGTTTATCGGCTTTCTGGGTTGAGCATTTTTTTCAGTCTATCAATTTTGGGTTCGCCCATGTATTAAACCTGACAGACGCCCTTGACTGTCAGCTTCCCAAGTATTTTTGATTTATTGCTGTATTTCAATTGTCTCTGTGAAATAATTGAATCACTTCCCTCGAAGAATAAAAAAAACATAAATATAATAACGTTCCATTACATTTACTATATTTTATAATATTACAGATGAAAGTATACAATTTTTTTGTAATGTTCCACGCTATTTTATTCTAACCGCATTTTGGGGTTACGTTTCTGTTATTAGCTCGGGGTTAAATACTGGCCTGTGTTTGTATATTAAAATGCAAATTGATTTATAATTGAAAATTGCAACGGCGTGGAACTAATCGTGCGGATTGTGTGTACGTTGGTATATATGCATGCGACTCAAATTGAATTTAATCTTGCATATTTCAACAAAATGCGCGACTCTCATTCCAATTTTTTTTTTCAGCCGCTATTAAAAACAACAAAATGATCAACGAAAAAAAAACCGAAACGATCTTGATTAGCTGAAATTCGATAATATTCATAAGTCGTCAAACTAATCGAAGTTGCATTACAGTGTATGGAAACTTGTGGAAATTCCTTGCTAGCAAACTTCACTTCTGATTATAATAATAATAATCGGGCATGCAATTAAATCTGAAACTGCTTCTTGGCTGCGGTTTCAAAAAGGAATTGTCGAATCTTGGATGTTGCATGCTAATGCCATCGCGATAAATAAAACTTGTTCATGTATCATCAGGCAGACCAACTTTCTATCCTGCAGCTACTATTATTATTATTGTTGTTATTAAAAGCAGTCTGTGCGAAAGGTAAACTTCTTTAAATGGTCTGTGTAAGCTGCAACAACGAAAACCTCGCCAAGTTTAAAGCGCTCATATTTCATAAACTTTGCTCGCATTTAACGAATTCCACTTCTAAACTGCAAATGAAAAGATTTCATTTTCTCTTCAACGGTTTCACAATTACCTTTACACCCAACCTTTATAAGTGTGTACGGGAATTTGTGTCGCGTACATTTATTTTCCAGTATTTTTAATTAATTTAGGTATGGATCAAGTTTCAAGCCTCGAAAACCTCGAATCTAAATAATACGAGTTTTATTTTTTTGTTCTGTTTACGCTGTCGCATTGATTGCACTTTTAATTTACAGAGCTTTTTTCCGCTCGAGACTTTACCACGTTTGCTTCAATTTAATAATAATACAACAACAAAAATATACATGTATATCTCGATTTCAATTGAATTGAACAGAGTCAGCCATGTGACAAACCAATTTTGTATACAAGTTGGCCTGTCCGCCTGCGTTTATTTGATAATTTATGGCAATACAATCAAAAGCACATAAATCAAGTTCATTCAGAACTTTGAACATCAATCTCTATAGCAGCAACGAATCGATAGAGAGAAAAAAGACAACAGCATTATAATAAAGTGAATCCAATACTTTACAGAGAAGATTTCATTAATTTAAAATAGACAGATTGGAAAAACTTATATAATTAAACTTGAAATAAATCGTTTAAATGTATATAGCATTTTATAAACTTTGTTTGTTTTATAATACAGTTAAATTGCAAAGTAAAAATTAATAAATAAAAATAGGTTTACCAACTTTTTCGGACTTTTTATTAATTATCTCAATCATAGTAAATAGAATATTAATTGTTGTTATATTACTTTTCGAGGGGGAATTCAACAGCGTAATGAAATTCTTCATTCTGATGGAATTAATATTGGGACATGTATTAAATATATGGAGCAGATATAGTTGTTGTGGTTGGCGTTTAATTAAATTGATGTATAAGTAAAATGTCGGTTATAGTAATTCGGAATAAAATGATTCTTGCTGAAATGCGAGTAATGTAGAAGTTAAGGGCCGGCGATTTTAATTAAGTTAGCAGAGTGGTGAGCTATGTGATCTTTTCATTTGAAACTGAACAAATTGCCGAGTCGAATATGGAAACCGGCCGCTCCATGAATGACATAACGATGTGCGATAATGGGAACCGTGAGCAACGTAATGTGTCTGGTAGTCTGGAGCGAAGAGCAACCTACGGGAGACGAAATTAATGAGTCATCCCCCCCGGGATGGTCGGAAAGACTCCACTAATTAAGGTTTTATTATGACAAGTTAATTATTAATTAAATGCGTTTCGTTGCAGTGAGGAAAGGCACCGGTACGGCTGGTCCAGTTTTCATAAATCCTGCCGCTTATAGTCCACCCGTGGCAGCCAATGCAGTGTCCCAACCTAACCAAGGTTCCCAAGTCACCCAGACGGTTTATGGATTTCTCGACTTCACGACAACCATTGGGAATACGGTGATGGTATTCTCCCCTCAAACCGCTGCTGCTGCAGCCGCCGCCGCCGCTTCAGGTAATTGCTATTTATCTTGTTATTGTTGAGATGAGAAGGCCAAGCACGATAAAACAGATCGTATAATGGGCGAATTGCGTGTTACAGATGGTGGAAAGGATAAAGTAAGCGGGGCGACAGTAAAAACAGTTATTGAGACAAAGCCTGTCGCATCGGAGCCATCCGTCGTAATAAAGCCGAGTAAAACAGAGAAGAAGGCATCGGAACCCAGTAAAAAGGTCTCATCGGTTGTGCAAGTGCAGCCAGTGAATCCACCTGTAAGACAATCCAGTAAAGTAGAAATTAAATCCTCCGGCCTGTCTACGAAAGTCAATGTAATAGAAGGCATATCGAGCGTCGTAAATGTCGCGCCGCCAATAATCTCCAGCAAAGTGGAGGTGGTCGAAGCCGCCCCCAGCAAACAACCGAAACTGAACATTATCAGTAAAGTGGAAATTATCACAGGAGTTACGAAGCCGACCCAAGTCCCAGCGGTCTCGAGCCACGTGGCAGTTCACCAGCCAATATTCTCGAGCAAAATCGAAGTGCACTCGGATGAAGAACCAGCAGTCATCATAGGCAACAACATCGCAGAAGCCGAGTACGATTTCTTATCCCGCCAGCCCTCGGAAGTTGTTGAAGAAACGTACAAAGTAATAAACTTAAAACCCAGCTCCAAGTTACATCTGAAACCGCGTCCATCAGCGCATCAAACGAAAAACAAAGCGAACGCCGCAACGAAGCGAGGCGACTCATTGCACCCGACGGGATTAGTTACTAAATTAGGTGGAACTGTCGTAAAGGATGGAACGACCACAGTGCACGAGACCAGCGTTATTGGCACGTACATCTCCGGGAAATATGCTCAAGTATTGCAAAGCACCTCGCACATTTATAACAATCAGCACAAGGGAAAAATTAACCCGTCGCCGACGCTGAGGATACTGAAGACGGCCGCACCTCATTTGGGAAAGCACAATAAGCATCGCCATTTGGATCCGACTCCGGCGGCGTCCGTGAACGAAGAAACCGTATCTGCTGAAATATCCCAGAACACCATCAAATCAACGAGGAAGCCATCCGGCTCATCGGGATCTTTGAAGCGTTTCAAGAATAGACAACCGGAACCTGTGCAGGAGAAGGAGAAGGAACCGGAAGTGCATACCACTAAAAAGTCGTCCAGAAATCGACAAACTCAATCGACGAGATCGAACAAGTAAGTATCGCTACGGCAATTACATTCACTAAACACTAACACTTGTAAATAAATACAGACACCACACACAACAAAAACAACAAAAAGTACAACAACAACAACCGCAACAGCCATCACCAAAATATGGTCGAAACAAGTCTCACATATCTACTGTGTCTGTATCTAGCGAGCAAGCATCGGCAACAGCCACATTCGGAAGCTCCTCAGGCAAACGATACAATTCCCGTCGAAATAAACAACAACGTGTGAGCAGTAGCAGCAGCAGCAGCAGCGCCGTCGTCGCCCCCGAGACCGGAGGATTTACACGAAGAGGTTTTAAGCCTAAAGTGCAGGCGTCTGCTGTGGATTCATCGCCGTCGGGCTCCTCTAGTTTATATAAATTTAAACTGAACCGTTCTCCGGGCAGATGGCAATATAAAACTACAGCCAGGCCTCGCATAACTATTAGGAAACAGAACGATGAGGAGAACGAGACTGGCGGAACAACTCCAAATTCTTTGCAGGACGTGTCGCCGGCTTTAAATGACGTCGTTACCCCGCAAGCGAGATCCGATGATGTCGACAGTTTAGTCGGTTCGGAATCAATAGCTTCAATTATAGATGATGAGAGTTCGACTGAAAATAAATTAGATACACCGTTCCCGTTGGAGACGATAAAGGTGGAGATTTCTACGCCGCCCGATTTCAAGGATATCTATTATGAGATTGCGACGATAAAATCGCCGTATACATTCCAGGTAAGATTTTATTGCTTCCCATTCCTATAATGGCGCTGGCTCAACATTTCATGTTTATTCGCATTCAGGTCGGAAGCGTGAAGAATACGAGGTACATAACTGTGACGTCTACGTTCGAGAAGATCCTGGAGCAAACAGAATCAGCCATCGCGGCAACTGCGTCTGAACCTTTGACAGAAAATATCCTCGCAACAGCGAGCAACTACGATAAGGATAATAATTTCCTGGATTCGAGCGTCGCGACACTTCCACCTATTTACTTAGCGTCGGATATGGAAACGCCGCCTCTAGAAACTATGATTGAGAAGTTCAGCACTACTCAGACAATGCTAAAAACACACATACTGCCTGTAATTCGAGGCGGAAATGATACAACCAGCTACACCCTTGTTCAGACTTATCTAATATCACGCTTAGTGACGGCCACCAAAACCCTTCCGCCCATGGAAGCTTATCATTTTAATCCTAGCAAGACTTTGAACGAATTTAACAGTCATCTGGATGAAGCCGGATCCGAGCTGCATTTGGAGCTGGACTTTGGCGATCAGAACGAACACGATGACGGTAATCATGGTAAACGCGTTTTTCCCGCTGACTTGGATTTAGCAAATATAGGGTCAGACTTTGATCTGTCCGATGTGGACAAATCCCGGATTCCAGAGAGTTTATTGAGGCTGAAGAAAGCAAACGCACCGGCAACACCGAAACCACTCATCAACGACGTACTTGCTTCCCCTGGTTTAAGTCCAGAACAACTTCAGCAATTAGCCTACCTACGTCTACTCAATCCTGCAGCTGCGGCTCAGGGCCAAGTGATTACCGCTTCTAAACCGGTCGTTAAACTGGAGACACTGTATGAGACTCATGTAATTCCCGTAATTAACGGTGCTAACACAATTTTGAGCACCTTATCTAAGATAGTCGGTACAGTAACTAAGACAGATTACGAGTTTGTTACGAGCACACTGCCAGGAATTCCAGGACTGCCAGGTCTGCAAGGACTGCCTTTACCACCGGTTCCCGTCAATCCGTTATTCCCACAGCAACAGCCCCAATACGCCGTTACCTCATCACCGATCGTCCAGACGGCAATCGTCACAAAAACCGAGAGCAAAATATTAAAGCTTACGTTCGGAGCTAAAACCGCTTACACGACAATATTCTCTACGAAAGTAGTACCCACTTTACTCACTACATACATGACGACTTCCGTTCCGGTTCAACAGACTGCAGCTTTCCCCGGTTACTATCCAGGCCCTTATCCATCTTTTCCATTTGTAGGTAAATAAAATCAATGTATTGCGGAAATTAATCTGTGTGTGTCAATAATAGCTAGAATGAACAATTGCGATACCAAAAATTTTAATTGAAAAATATATCACAAAAAATATGAATTAATTATCATTATTATATTCGATACGTTTATTATTTAAAATGTTCACACAGAACATGAGTTTCAGTGTCCTCCAAACGCACTATGTGCTTCGTGTGCAATAAAGAACTGAAATTTTAATATTATTATTATTATCTAATTATTAGTTAAAGTTAAATCTATTTTTTTTTGTTTGAGATATCCTAAGGACATCACTTGTATATATAACATTAATTCATTATTATTATTATTATTTTTACATGTAAACTTGTATTTGTAAAATGTGTGTGTATTATAATAAATATAATTTTATTTAAGGAATCAAAAACATTGTTTATTTTTCCATTGTTCATATTTTAATATAATATATTTTGATAATGTTGTTTGAATTTAGAATACACACATCCGCATAAGATTGGTTGTGTGGTTGTAATTTTACATGAACTTCAAAAATAAAATTAAAATTGCATTTCTGGGTGTAGCGTGTAGATTTAAACGCATGATTAAGGCGACCATGAAAATCTGATCATTTTGATAAAGGTCCTGCAACGTGTACATGACGTCCGCGCCCAGACGAGGGCAACCGGAAATGCCTTATTTGCCTTTGAAAAGGGAGTTTTATGAAATCCCTTTTCCCATTTCAGCACGCAATTAAATATGCGCAAAACGTGATGAGTAATGCTATCGCGTTCATATAGCAGACGTGTTTATGAGAGAAGGCGCGTCAGCCTTGTTCGAAATCTATAATTCAGGCATTCAGGAATTAGAGGCAGTGAGCGTGCTTCGCATTGCCCCTCTGCTTATTTACCTCTTTTATTCTATTGACAACTAATTAACATTTACGTGAGCTATTACATACCTTCCATCAACGGTTTTTAATTAACTAGAAATCAGCATATTTTTATTACCACTAAAATCTTAATACGAGTTCTACTTTAGTCATACATGAATTGTTTATATGTAGTATGCAGATGAGATCGACCAGAGTGTGTCTGTGTTTGATTAAAAGAACGAATAAACAAACGGAAAGTTTTATTTAAGTGATTACTGCGCGACGGGGGACACATCTTAATGAATTTAATTTACGTAGGTGCGAAAGGTAATTAAAACGGAGCGTATTTTATTTCACGTGGGTTCGCTAATAAATTGAACGCAAGGGAAATTATTAAATTGAGCGTAAAGTATAGTGACTCACAATTAATCCCTCCAGTGATCTGTAAAGGATTATTACGTTCGCACAGGTATCCGATAAAAAATGGCAGTTATTCCTGTCTGCAGCGAAACATGCTACCAAGTCTGGCACATCTGTGGAGGCATTTATATTGCAGCGAATAACCCAAAGGTCCGAGGAAATAACTTAAAACTTCCCTACAGCTATTTCCAACTCTCTTTCGCTGACTCCCTTCCTCTACCTCCCATATGTATGACAGCTCATGGACAAATATTGATTTATCCTACTCGAAAAATGTAATATTTTCTGTATGTTTATAAGTAAATGTCTATAGCACATTCACTCGACATATTTGTAGCCAACTGACACACACTATATTTAATATTAATCTATTGTTAAACTAACGCACAACTTATATTTACAAATCGATAAACAAATTTAAATAACAATATTTTAACTTTATACAATTTTCAATGTAAAACATAATATTATTTCAACTGCGACCCAACTTTTTATTTCTTTTCTTCAGTTGAGAGCACATGTTTACAGTATTTGCTTTCGATTGATCTCTATCTCGAGTGTTATTGTGGTTTCCACTAGACTATTTCTTTTTATTAAACTCCATTTTTATATATAAACATACATGTAAATCAACGTTTAGTTCACACACACAAATCGTATTTTAAGCGTATTTTAGTGGTAAAAATAATGTATTTATTAAAACATAAATCGGTTATTTGGTTAAATAAAATGTAAGTTTATATGCATTATACATCGTTAAATTAAATTGTAAATCCTTAGTTTTACATACTACAAAAGATACGTTAGAATTTGTATAGGGATTTCACAAACCATAGGTACATTAGGTAGGTAATCTTCCCCGGTGGATAGTTACCATTATGATAATTTTTTATTTTTTTTTGTAGGTTGTCTTGTAGGTTTCACTGTGAATCTTCTGCTATCCTTAACACTGTCATTGTCCATCGACTTGGCTGAAGGTCCATATGCTGAACCTTATTCATTTCACTGTCCATCTGTAATGAACAATGGCCCTATTGCTACAAGCACCGAGAAAGGGCCTGACTTGACCAGGATTCGAACCATCGCCCACTAGATCGTAGCTAGGGCGACTAACCATTCGGCTATTAGTCGCCCTGTATATAATTATGCAATAGATAAAAATAAACTAAGAATTTAACTGAAAATATGTTCTTTCCATTTTAATAATACGTACATATTTGGCGAATGCGCCGGGTTATACATACAATATAGACGGCAATTTCGTTCGAAACTTATAATTTGAAAAATATGCAAATAGAGAAAAATACATGTGCATGTCATAATGGAAAAATGGGAAATCAATTTTGTCCTTTGTGCATATGCAAGAAATGTCCCACAAAATACGGAAACAGTAATAAACTAGAAAATTGACTTGCAGTTTCATTAGGGTTTCGTTCAATTTTAATCCGGCCTTTGTAACTTTTTTGCTCCTTTGATGTTCCGCAGTTGGTATTAGTATGATTGCTGTAGTATAGTGCACCACCGTCTGTGTATCTAAACAGGAAGTGCATTTTTTAATCTCGGCAAATCCCAGTGATTTCCATTGAAATGAATATTTTTCACATATACATATTTATTTGTCGCGGTCTTATATCTAAGCCGTATCAGTTATGAACTATCCCCGAATTCCATATTCATTATATCGAATTCCATTTTCATTTTATGCAAATGATATAATGAATGGCAAAAAGGAAATTCCGGGATGCACATGGAGCGCAGCAAATGATTGTAATTAAATGAAATATAATAATTAAGAATGGCTGACAACATATTCCAACCCTGCAGACGTGAAATAATTACGTTGAGTTCTTTTCGCAGTCCCTTTTAATTAAAACGGACCCGCACACACACACCACCAGATTCATGCACACTACTCTGATCCTTCTTTTTGTTTGTTTCATATTTATATAAATGTATTATATTCGTGCATATTAAAATACTTCTATAGCGAATTTATTTTTTGAAACATTGCACTGAAAATATAATTATTATTCATTAAATTCAATTGAATTTACGCAACTCGTTATCTCAACATTTAATTTATTCCGAATGAAATTTTGGTTTCAGTTAGCTTCATTCATTACTTCAATTTAAATTCAGTTTTTTTTTTAAATTTATAAATCCTACATAATTCAAGATATTTGATTATTTTAATGATATTTAAAACTAGTTTGAAAACTTTAGAACATACTTTTTCAATAACGATTTAAATTATATTTCATAGCTGTATGCAAATACAAAAATGATAACTTGTATTATAATGTAGATTCTCAAACTTTTTGATTTCGACATAAAACGAAGAATGGCTATAAGTAGAAAAACAACCAGGATTGATCCACACAATCCCCGCGATCCACACATTGAGAATCACTGATGTAGACTATAATTTTCTTTATAAGTAAATTTTGTCGCTACAATTTCTACTTTCTACTAAATAAATACAATTTTAATATACAAAACTACCTTGCTCAGTTAGGATACGGATCGGTTCCGCCAATTCGGACTGTTTGAAACCGGACTAATCGAGGAACTAAATAAATTTCATACTTTTCTCTGTTAAACTCCATTATGTTTTATATGAGCTACATGTAAATCAACATTTAGTTAACACACACACATTTCCGTACTTTATGCGTATTATAATGGATTTATAAGTAAATTTTGTCGCTACAATTTCTACTTTCTAATCAATAAATACAATGTTAATATACAAAAATACCTTGCTCAGTTAGGATTCGGATCGGTTCCGCCAATTCGGACTTTTTGAAACCGGACTAATCGAGGAACTAAATAAATTTCGTATTTTTCTCTGTTAAACTCCATTATGTTTTATATAAGCTACATGTAAATCAATATTTAGTTAACACACACAAATTGCAGTACTTTATGCGTATTATAATGGATTTATAAGTAAATTTCGTCGCTACAATTTCTACTTTCTAATCAACAATTTTAATATACAAAAATACCTTACTCAGTTAGGATACGGATTGGTTCTGCCAATTCGGACTGTTTGAAACCGGACTAATCGAGGAACTAAATAAATTTCGTACTTTTCTCTGTTAAACTCTATTATGTTTTATATAAGTTACATGTAAATCAATATTTAGTTAACACACACAAATTGCAGTACTTTATGCGTATTATAATGGATTTATAAGTAAATTTTGTCGCTTCAATTTCTACTTTCTACTCAATAAATACAATTTTAATATACAAAACTACCTTGCTCAGTTAGGATTCGGATCGGTTCCGCCAATTCGGACTGTTTGTAACCGGACTAATCGAGGAACTAAATAAATTTCGTACTTTTCTCTGTTAAACTCCATTATGTTTTATATAAGCTAGATGTAAATCAACATTTAGTTAACACACACACAAATTTCCGTACTTTATGCGTATTACAATGGATTTATACTATTATAATACGCATGTATAAATGAATATATATATAAAAGTTTCACGTTGTGGTAGAATTAGACTGCAATTAAAGCTACCGGCGATAAATCTAAGATACGAAGTTCTTATTTACGACCTACGGAAGTTTCTTGCACAAGCCATTGGAAAAGTTCTGAAAGCAGAAGTCATCTGTCTAAACCTGAGGATTTTCTTTATGGAACGAACTGTTATCGATTAAGCGCTCGAATACCGAGAACGTGGCACTTTTCTTATTGAAAAAAAAGAAGTTGTATTGCATTAATATTGTCTTTAACTGCAGTAAAATTTTATTGAAAACTGAATATAATACTAATGCCGCATTCATCGAATTAAGCAGCGATCATAAACCTTTACGGTCGTAAAACAAATTTATTAAATAGTTTTAATAGCTTAAAATGAACATTACGAATATTTTTATTGGCGTTTCTCGGGTTTATGAAATCATTTAGTCGCGATAATAAAA